TGCTTTCAACCCAACACCAGCTTCCTGATTACCACTAAACCCTAAACCCTATCCCCCCCCAACTCCCGGGCCCTATACCATAAAGATTCCAAATCAGGGATTGCGGTTTTAGGGCTTATGGGCGAATGCCAATCCTAAACCCTAAAACCCTAAACAGTGAAGCAGAAGCCTAAACCCCAAAAACCCTAGGTCCGCGAATCCTAAACTCTGAAACCCGGCCACCCTAAACATCGAGACCCCAAAGCCCCTTCATGAAGAAATAATATACCTTGAAATTTCATAAGGGTTTAGGGTTTGGGGTTTAGTTCAAAGTGCCTCTTGCGGTCTCATGGGAATCCCCCCGATCCCCAAACCCCCAAGACCCCAGAGCCGCGGTTTGCAAGACCTGATACCATTCCCTACTTGGAGGTTCATGGGTAGTCATAAGTGGGGTTATAAGTCCCCTAATAAGGGTCATGAGTATAGTTACCTTACTTATCACCCCAATTATACGCACCCATGAACCTCCAAGTAGGGCTCCTGGAACTCATGTTGCTACAAGTATACCACCCCAAAGTAACAGATCATGAATGTTAAGGCCTCTTTATTTATTTGACCCCAAACCGAAACACCATACCCCGAACGCTAAACCCGAAAACCAAAAGAGCTAATGCTATTCATTACCCAGACCTTCCAAAATCCCTTAACTAAGGAATATACCGTAAATTATAATAGGATCCCAAATATGAATTAAGGTATATTCCCTAATTAAGGGATTTTGGCAGGTCTGGGTATGGCTCTTGAAGCTCTTTGTGCCCTGAGAGCAACTCTCATAGAATCCTTACAAGAAGCCTTCAACGGCTTTAAACCCAAAGGCTCCAAAGTACCTAAAAGGTGGAATGTAGGGTTTCTACAGTAGGAATTACTATTATGATTTGGGGAAGTATTCCCCCTAACACTACCTAAGACCCTTGGGGAAAGGAACCCTACTTGGAGGTTCATGCATGGGTAGTTATAAGTGGGGTTATAAGTCCCCTAAGAAAGGTTATAAGTACCAAATTATACCTACCCATGAACCTCCAAGTAGACCCTACACCCTATACCCTGATAGAATCCCTATAGATCCCTTGAAAGGGACCCTTAAAGGAACTTCGGAACCCTTAAAACTACCCATGAACCTCCAAGTAACCCCCAGACCTTCCAAAATCCCTTAATTAAGGAATATACCTTAATTCATATTTGGGATCCTATTATAATTTAAGGTATTCCTTAATTAAGGGATTTGGGAAGGTCTGGGCCCCCCTGGACCGGGCCTGCACCCAGCTGTGCGTTGACTATGCAAGTCATTTTCTCGACAACAAGCTGGAATGCAAGCCTCGGGAGGAACAGGTCTTTTAGGGCTTGGGGTCTACGGTTTAGGGTTGGGAATGGTCGAACATATATACCTATATATATATATATGCACATGATATATATCTATATATGTATATTTGTGTCATGCTTCAGAAGGACATGTCTGCCACTGCGAGCATCACAAGGGCAAGCGGGCAGTGAGGTTTGGGTTTTTGAGTCTTAGGGTTTAGGGCATAGGAGGGCTGGGCATTTTGCGTATAAGGACTTAGGGTACGTTGGTACTGTGATATGGCATATGACATATGAACCTTAAACTCTTTTCGGGCTCATTTCGTCTTTATGATGGGTTTAGGGCATGTTCTGCTTCTGCTATTGCTCATGCTTCTGCACAAGACGGAAGAATCGTGGTTTGGAGTTGACGGCTTTTGGGCTTTGCGAACAAAGTTGGGGGATTGAGATTTTTTGGCTTAGGTCCAGGGGTGTAGGGTTGAGGATCGTGTCCCAACCCTAACCCCGATACCCTAAACCCTCAACCAGCCTACGGAAACGACACCCGTCCTGCATGGACCACTGAGGCTCGAAAGACCCCAAGCAAGGGGTAATGTACTGTTGATGATATAAATCCTGCATTACCTTAGGGACCCTAGACTATGGGATTTATGGTATATTCCTTATTATGGGTAGTGCAGGATTTATATCATCAACCGTAGGAACTTGATTAAGAAACCTTGGGTCTGTATTAGGGTTCTTCTATGGGAGTTTCCGAAACTTGGGGACCCTGAAAAAGTACCCCCAATAAAAGTATCCTTGTTATAAGGACCCCAACATAAAGTACCCCGAATTTTCGGAAGCTCCCGTGTAAATCCGAGTATGTTGGGGTGATAAGGCCAGGGTTTCTTAATCAGGTTCCTACATTACGCAGAGACTCGGAAAGAACTCTTTTAAGTAAGGAATACTGTAGGGCAGGGTTTTTTGGGGCCTTTAAAAGGATCCTTTAAGGGATCTATAAAGGTTCTCTGGTCTAGGGCCCTCAATAATGATTAGACTAGGGCTTGGGGGCTATTCTACTATAATTACAACAGAGAACCCCCAAAATAGTATAGGTAATTATTTGGGCCCCTACATTACCTTGAACCACCGGAACCTGCTTCTCTTTTTGTGAGGCGTTCCCTCGCCTTCTATATTCGGGTTCACAAAGCAGTCGCCTCTAAGCAGGCTATGGTGGCCGAGGCATAGCTTACGTGGAGGTTCATGGGTACTTACAAGGGTTCCTTTACGGGTCCCTTCAAAAGGGATCTATAGGGGTATAGGGTTTAGGGTCTACTTGGAGGTTCATGGGTACTTGTAGTTGGGGTTATAATTAAGGTAACGATACTTATAACCCTTATTAGGGGACTTTTAGCCCCACGTATAACCCATGAACCTCCAAGTAAACCATGAAAGGCTTTCGCAGACTCCGAACTCTGAGAAGCTTATCAGCCGTAAGCTTTCGCCTAGACCGAGGCATGTCTAGTACTGTTCCCCTGTGAACGACTTGCTTGATCTAGGGCCCCAAAAGCACAGAAGCAAAAATTAGAGTAGTGATATCCCATGTAAATCCCCTTATAATGAAGCCCAATAAGGTAGGGATATCACCATAAAATGCTTATGCTTATGTGCTTTTTGGGTCCCTAATGATGGTTGGTCAGAGTCCTACCAGGCTGAAAAGAGGTAGGCAAAGAACGCGTCCTGAATCAAAGACATACTCCCGCAAAAGCAAAGAGGATCCTTCTGACAAGGGACACTAAAGCAATGTATACCTTAGAAGCTGCCCCCACCCTGTAAGAGTGACTATAAGGATTATATTAGGGCCCTATTATATTCCTATTATACCACTATTACAGGGTGGGGGCCCCTTCTATAATGTATACCCCAGACAGTACCCTAAACCCTAAACCGTGAATTCGAATCCCAGAACACCTACCCACAGGCCTCAAAGTAGTTCCTTTTTGGATTACCTTATAGGATTCTATATACAAACCCCAAAAAGGAACTACTTTGGGGCCTTAGGGTAGACTGAAACCTAAATCCAACACTTACGCTCAATCAGAACGACAGTCTCACCCTTCCGAAACCCGAAGCCCGTAATCGTTGACACGTCGCATCTTCGGCGGCACAAAGGCTGAACGAAAGCTCGCTCAGAGCTGATGGCCGAAAAAACCGCAGGAATAAGCGTTTTGGAGATTTCGTGGACCCTCAACCCACCCAAAAAACCCTCAAGCCCTAACCCCAAACCCCAATGTGCCACGGGTACACCCTAAACCCCAAAACCCTACATCCGGAACCCTCAATATGACATACTCTACTGCTAAGGTAGAACGGTAGGGTCTAGGGCTTCAGGGTTTTATTGGGACTCTTCGGGTGTCCTTCGCTTAGTTGCGGAGTTCATAAGTTCAAGACGTTTAAACTTTGAGTTTAGTTCATAAGCTTAAAAAAGTTTAAAGTTTCAGTTTCGTTCATAAGCTTAAAAAGTTTAAACTTTCAGTTTTAGGGGGGTTTCATTATCCCAAGATGTTTAGCGGTTTTAATCTCAGCCACACAGTTCTCAAGGGTGCGATCAAGGTTTGTCAGCATTTATAAGGGTTCTATTCATACGGATGAACCTGTGAGCCCTAGACCCTTGCAGTCCTTGGCAACTATTCAGGCACATGCCGTGAGATGAAAAGAACAAACAGCCCGACACCCTAATGAAGCCCTACTTGGAGGTTCATGGGTATTTACAAGTCGGGTTTATAAGGTAACTATACTTACAAACCTTATTCGGGGACTTATATAACCCCGCTTCGAACTACTCATGAAGCTCCAAGAAGAGTTCATCTTTGGACCTGGTTCTCCTCGAATCCCCGGAGTTAAGGGCTTAGGGGTTTTGGGATTCAGGGGTTCAGGGGTTTAGGGGTTTAGGGGTTTGGGGGTTTCGGGGATTTGGTGGGTTAGGGGTTTCGGGGCTTATGCCTGAGAGTCGAGCCCAAAAGGTCCTAGGTAGTGTTCTGGGGAATACGCCCCCAAATCATAATAGTACTTCCCCTTCTAGAAACCCTACATTCTACTATATAATATAGGTACCTTGGAGCCTAAGGGGATGAGATATTGACTTCAAAGGTTCATCCATGTTGGTGCTGCAAGAGGGAATCTGACTAATGCTAGGTACCTGGTTAAGAAACCTTGGGTCTTCCTTTAGGGCTCCTTCTATGAATCCTATTATTTTGATGTCATAGGCCCAGGGTTTCTTAATCAGGAATTTACATGAGACGACCTCACCCCCCTAAGCCCTCCAGACCTAAACCCTGAACACCCTAACACCGTACAGATCCATTCCAGAACCCTTGAAGGAATGCGTTCAGTTGCCAAATTTGTTGGAACCCTTTACGAAGCCCTTTAGCGAATCCTTACACTTACGGATTAAGTCCGATGATCCTTCAAGCAATATAGGGGTCTGGCATTCAAAGTCAGTCCAACAGGGTGGTGGGGGCATATTCTAGTCGACTAACTGCATGAAGGAGCCCTGAGGAATAAAATGACTCGTGATTCAAGCCCCAGTCCTTCTAGATCCCCTTTCAGAAACCCTTTAAGGCATGATTCAAGTTACGAATTCCCATGATCGTTTGAGTAGGGTTGCCCGGGTGCCCTGCCATCTGCATAGCCAAGGCGGACGTCCAGAGCTGGCGTGGAAGGCGAGGAGGGGTGGAGACGGTTTATAGGGTTCGGGGTCGACATTCTATTAGACCCCAAGTACCTACCATTAGGAGCCGGATACCACGATTTGAGGGTACAAGGAGGGCCATTGCAAAGACTTGAGAAACCCTCTTGAACAGCCCAGGAAGGCTGTGGGAAGGTACCTGACAAGCATCAAGAAGCCCATGACATTCAACTTGAACTTCTCATTCTGTCATTCACTCTATGAGCAAATTTCGAGCCAGCCACTGCAACACCGTGTCTTCCAGCGCGCGGTGGCACTTCAATACTTGTTGCTTGTCGTGCACCTCCGACAATTGTTGTTGCAGTTAAACCTAAACCATAAACCCAAGTCGCGAGCTTCGTCCACCGGAATCCCACCTTTGAGCGCGAACACGTCACTTCGCAAGCCGGATGGCAAGGTTGCAAAAGAAGCTTACCCAGAGGGTCCATATATACTACCATTATGGAATTACATCCAAAATGACCGCTCCTCTTAAGTATGGTTATTAGGGTTTAGGGTTTTAGGGTTTAGGGTTTAGGTCTTTAGGGTTTTAGGGTTTAGGGTTCCATAATACAAGTGTATACTGCCTCAGTGTATATACAACTATCTCAGAATTGCGCCATGCTACGATGATATAGACCAGAGAGCCCCGCACGGCTTACTCTTTACCACAACGGGGGGGGTTCTGATTGTGATAGCGATAATATAGGGGCCTGAAGCACTGGAATAGGATTTCGGGGCCCACTATACTATAATCATAGAAAGGAACACCCAAAATTTTGAGAAGAGAACGCCCTGCACTCGTAACAGAACTCTTGGGCTTGGTCCTTGTTCCAAGCGAATTCCCAGTTTACGGTTTCCGGATAACTTAAACCCCAGGTTGAGGGTATAGGGTCTAGATTATTGTTTAGGGTAGACTCACTGGGAAAGCTCTTGCTCGGGTAAGGTTCTCCGCCCATTTCGCAAACCCTTGAGAATCTTTGGAAAACTCCTGTACATCGAACTCTGCATAACTACAACCCCTGTATAGTCCCAACATACTCAAGCTACAAAATACTCCACAACCCTACCGAAAAGACAGAACCCTAGCCTGCAGAATCTGTAGAACAAGAGTTTACCGTTCAGGGCCGCTTGGAGATACAGTACCCTGCACTAAAAGCCTATAAGACTGAGGAATAGACCTTAAATTCTGGTAGGATGCCTAATATGAACCAAGGTGTATTCCCTAATATTCGGGGTCCTACTCTAACTTAAAGGATAACCCTTAATTGTGGGAGGCTCTTTGATAACGCACGTGACAGCGAGGCTGCGAACGCTACCAGGAGGGCAAATCCGCCACGCGAAGACCTGCTCGCGCGGCACAGTGTTGGGGGCTGAGGGCTTAAACTGTACTATAATCGGAACTGCCAGGAATAGTACTCTCAAATCTTCAGGGCCTTACCTAAGCCATGAAAGCCCAAACCCTAGACTCTTGATCATTTCAAGCGAAAACCCTGATCCTCGAACCCCTTTCCCCGCCAAGGTTTCTGCATGCTCGCACGGCGTTCAGTGTGCAGTGATGACGGAAGACTGCTCTAGAAACTTCACAGCACCGGCAAAACGGCCCAGAGAATCCATCACAAAAACCCTACAAGACCCTAAACCCTTATAACCCCCCAACCCTAAACCCCTAAACCCTAACCCCCCAAAACCCTAAACCAAGTAGGCCCTACTTAAAGGCCGAAGTCCAGCCCGGACCTAAACCCGAACCGCCCGAAGCCCGAAACTCCGAAACCAGTAAAATCCAAAGCTTCCTAAAAGAGTACCAGGCCGCCCTCTGCCCAGACCTTCCAAAATTTTCTTAATTAAGGAATCTACCTTAGTTCATATTTGGGATCCATTATATCTCACTCGACTAAGAGGCCCGTGCACAGCGCAAGCAGTGCAGAGCGAGCCATGTCCTGAAGGTCCTTGTCGGTCAATCCGCAATTCTGCGGCTGAGATCGCAACTCTTCCGTATTGGGCGAGTTGCAGTAAACTCTGATAGTCGTGCCCGTGCCTTCTTCATAAGCCCAACATCAACGCCCATGAGCAGCCCAGGAGACCGCATGAGCAGACCACACGGCACTGCGGCACAACCCTTCAGAAATGTAGCCTGTACATCACATGCCTTAAACGAGGCACACAAAGCCCTCCGGAGAAGCCTAATCTGAACAGCGGCTGACAGGGGAGGCCTCAAAGGCATGTCACGTGCATTTACCCACACTCCAGCCGTTGGATGAAATGCAGGAAATTCGAGCACCTCTGCAACCGTGACTAAAAACGCGAACTCGATCCAGCTCACCTCGAAAGCAACGGCGGCATCACCATCCTGTTTCATGAAGAACTCCGTGACCGCTATGATGAACTGAGCGGGCAAGTCTATTTGTATCGCCTCACACCGGCGTCTCCAGTCCAACGGAAAAGTCTCCGCCATGGTCTCCGGCCGCGGCACTCCTGCTGGCAGTGATACTGACTGATCGTCCTCCGCCTCGGGCTGGTCTTCAGCCACTATTCTGCCTTTTTCTTGCAGAGTTTGGGCTGCAACCCGAAAGAAAATGCCACGCAAAGCTCGTATGATGGACTTGACCTCCGACTGTTCACTGATCACCTGCATGTATAGCTGTTGAAAGGCATACGAACGGCTGTTATTGGCCATGCCTGCCACGGTGTCTGCATGAGCATTATTCCTAGCCACCCATTCCTCAAAAGGACTTTCACATTTCGCGGGATCCAAGTGGGATGGGATGTGCACGATATGCAAGGATCCTAGCTCAAGCTGTTGCAAAAGCTGCGCCAACAATGACCACAAATCTTGGTTGTCAATCGGAACAGGATCCCATGGGCTGTCCAGAAGTCTTTGCACACCGAGGACCACATGTTTGCAGTCGGTCCAAAGGTTAACGGACACTCGCATTGCAATGGCCCACCTAACCGCGCTGATCACGGCGCATAGCTCGGCGCGAGGAGCTGTTTGCCACACTCCGTGTAGTGGCCCACAGGACACCACCTCGCCGGTTGAAGCACTTATGACGCCCCAGCCTGCCAAAGCAAGGCCCTTCACATCCTGAAGCATGCATGCCCCGTCTGTGAACAGATGCTGGCGCCCGACCGTAGTGCGCACACTGTTAAACTGCGCTGTTACATCCGGAAGATTTGCAAGCTGTGCTCTCAGTAAAGGCATGAGCCGGCTAGCTGGTGGGAGAAGGTGGTGTGTCAAGGAAGTCGGCAAGGTGTCCCAATGCTGAAGAACCCAAGCATCCTGGCCCCTTGCTGCCTCATACTGCGGGCAGTGGCGCAACCTGTGCTCCACATCATCTGGAACGTGGCAGTGCGGGCAGAGGCCATCTTGGCTGGCATCATAGTGAGCATGAGCAGCTCCGACAAGGAATGATCCGGATTGGATTGCCGCAAGACGGGCCGTGTCTAGTGCCGACATTTGGGCAACATCAAGCGACACAAGTGATGCCTCGATTCCCTCCAAGTCCTGCATGGTTTGCCGATGGTTGTGTTGTCTGGCCACGAAGTTTAGCCATCCACGCTCAGCAACATCCCTGAGCATGGCCATAGGGATCTGCAGCAGATCATGCCTGAGCCCTTCATGGTCCTCGAAGGCTGGGGGCGCAAGCACGCGCCAATGCACATCCGAGAAGAATCGCAGGACCTGCGAGAAAGGACCTTGAAACAAATCCCCACAGAAGTTTGCCATGAACGATCTCCACTGGAGCAGAAGCATCGGCATGCGTTGGCAGTGCAGCCGCATGTCTTTCAACAAAGCCCAAAATACCCAAAACCCTGGGTCGGTCTCCATGCGGGGGCAGAGTGATAAGCGAATCATTGAACTTGAGCCGGCCGACTTCAATCCTAAAGCCTTGACCGCGGCAGCCCTCAGCGAAGTCAGACATCCTGCAGGCAGAGGGCACCCCACTGCCCCGTGCAAAGCCGAAGCCCAGAACTTCCCCGGCAAGATGGCCAGCTTAAACGGGAGAGGAGCTGGTGATCGGCGCAGTGCCTGCCACTGTGGTTCCAGAGCCTTGCAGCGTTGTGTCAAAGCCGCATTTCGCGTTCGTCGGCCATACGACAAGAACCCCCCGAGCTCACGAGCATGCTCACAGATAGGCAAGGAAAGTGCCCGCAGAGAACCTGCAGAGCCGGGCCGAGCTGCCCACACGTAAGTTTTCGACGCATCCAACTCCAAACCAAGCAAGTCACAAACGCATCGACTCAGGTTCACTCCCTGAGCTAATTGCCCACAATCGTTGCCGATCACTGCCAGATTGTCTACGTAACTGAGCGACCTGATGGATGGCGCGAATACCCTCAGGTACGAGTGGTAGATCAAATCGGCTAGAAGCATGGCTACGGGCGAAAGCGGACAGCCCTCGCAAAAGCCTGATGTGGACAGCAGCGGTTGGCTCACACAACCCCTGACAACGAAGCGGCGCTGCACGCCTGTCAAGAAAGCAGCCCATGGACCTAACACATGGCTTGGAAAACCCAATGCTGCCGCGGCTGCCAATAAAGGACGGCGAGGCAGCGCATTGAATGCCTTTACAATGTCGCCGACCATTCCGAATGCGTCTTGACGGCCCTGACAGCTGAGCTCGATTTGAACTTGGAGAGTCCACCAAAGCATGGAAGAGCTCTTCCCACTCACAAAGCCAAAGCACTCATCATGAACAACACCCGACAACTGCGCAATCGCCTGCCTGGCTCGAATACCGCTCCAGGTTCGGTAAATGATGCTAAGGAGGCATATGGGCCTGAAGCCATTGGCGTCCCCTTTCCCGGCGGGTTTGAGTAGGCTACAAACAAAGCCTTGGAGGAGTTGTTCCGGCCACTCGCACCGTCCTCGTTCGATTCTATGATGTAAACCCAAGAGGGATTGAACCCATGCATCCGGCATGTTCTCGAGGTCATCTTTGGACCAACCGTCGGGCCCACGAGCCGCTCGCGGTTTGTACCTGCGTATGGCCTGTCGCCACTGTGAAATCGAAATGTCCGGAAATGAAAGGTGCAGACGTGGCAGGTAAGCTCTTGAAAATGCAATGAGGCGATCCCAATGCTCCGGCGGCAGATCTGTATGCTGCTGCCAGCGAGGCCGCCACAGAGAAACGAATTCGTCTTGAATGTGACCAACTGAACTGAGCGTCTGATGTTGTTCAAGCTCCACAGCGTCACTGAAAGGAAAATTGTCCCCGACAACACACACATCGTCTTCCATGGATTGGACCTGAACGGGCTGGCCGTCAACCGACCATGTGCATGCGCCTCTTGTGTCCACTGGAGCATCCAAGTGCAGTTGTCGAGTAGTGGGCTCTGACGCCAAAATGGCATACGACCGATGAATGATTAACGTGTCTACCTGAGACGGGGCCGGCTTCCTGAGAGAACGATACAGCTGATTTTGCGACTCCGATAGCTTGGCCTTTAGAACCTTGCATCGCTGCTTCAAATGCCAGCCCTCAAACTTACGATAATTTTCCCGAAAGTCCATGAAAATGCTGCTCGCCACGGAAGCCGAAGGAACACCTTGCGGTAACTGACTCGGACTTCCTTGTAGCTGAACGGGCCGTTGGGCCCACCAACGGGCAAAGTCAGGACTGAAACCCTTGGCACGGCGGACTGCCGCCCACAACTCGATGCGATAGGCTACAGCCCCTGCGGTAGGATTGGCCGCCGCCGTGGCATGATGCAGACTTTGTATGCGGCGAAGTTGCTGAAACCATCGTTTGCACTCCAATCCTAGAAAATCACTCCGCGGGGCCTCCTCGCCTGGCCTACTTCGCCGAAGCGGGATGACGGGGTCAGTGCGGCGCTGTGGCGCCAGGCGCCTGGAACGACCGTAGCTGTGACTTGGAAGCCTCGCGCCGGGGACACCCTTCACAAAACCATCCAGACTATTCTCATAGGCGCGGGCGAAGCGCGTCATCCAATCCGTAGCATCAGAGCCTTCAGAAGGACCCTGACACGGGCACTGCACAGATGCCCAAGAAGGGATGTCCACCTCCGACCAAGGAATGAGACAGGGCTGTGGCCATGACCATTGGGGCATATTTTGCTTGGGGACTGAAAAGGCTGCCACCACGAACGAATGTTCAGCAAAGACCTCGAGAACCCGCACCGAAGTCAACAGAGCAGCCATTTCTGGCGACATCCAGAGCATGTCCCTTCTAGTGGTGTGTTTACAAGTCGGAACAACATCCTGACCCCACATGGCCGCAGCATGAGCTTGGACCTCCACCCAACCCTGCAACCTCCAGATGGAGAGTTGCTGAAGCTTGTCTTCATCATGGTTGAAGTCCCCACAGATGATTCTGAGCCCGCTGCGCCCTATCACTAGCTCAGAAGTGAATGCTTCCAATAAGGTGTCTGTCCTTTGGCGGGCGTCTGGCCACAGCGGGCTCTGTGGATAACCGTAAATGTTGCCCACAGTCACCGGTATGTGACCCAAAAGGTGCTGGACGATCTGCACCCTTCCTGTCTCAAACACCCCCACCGGCCATTGGATCGACACGGACGTTGACGGACAATCCCCCAACTGCATGACCCCTGTGTATGCCCCAGCCCAGGTGGACGTACTCCGCAGCGCCGCTGGGGCGCCGCAGTGGATGCGCACATTGCGATTCAAAGAACGGGCCTCGTACCTCAGCTTTTTGATGGACGACTGTTGCGTCACCGTACTCAGCTGGGTCTCTGACAATGACCAGATTCCTGGTCCCATGTCTATCAACAGGGACTCTTTCCCCCTAAGCCCTGAAGGATTGGAACAACCAACCAAGAGATTGGAACATGACGACAAAGGACCTTCGGAGTGATGCGGGCCCGGATGAGACGCCTCACCAACGCGAAGAACTACCGGGCTAAAACCACAAAGCCGGGCAGTCAAAACTGCGGGCATTACGTCTGGGTGGCCCTGAGAAAGGCGATGCAAGGAAAGCCAGGCATGTGGAGCGCCAACCGAAGGGCGCAAAGGCGATAGTGGATCTTGGACACGGTCCCAACCTGCGTCCAGTGCACCATGATTGTGGAAATTCGAAGATTGAGCGCCAGCTAAGACCGGCGTCAGGCTCAAAAGCCAGACAAAGAAGCACCGAAGGATGGATCGGGGCAATGACATGATGCGAAGCCTGCGGATGCCCCGATATCCGCAGCTGTGGCGTCCTAGTCACTCCGTTCGGGGTTTTTTGCTCCCTAGGAGCCCTTGGATCTGCTCGAGCTGCCCCGCTAGTTGTGCAGAAAGTTGCGCAGTAAGCTCCGTCTGCATTGAAGTAACTGCTTGTTGAACACTCGCCTGGATGACTGCAGACTGTGCACCCATCTCCTGTCGAACCTGCTGGAGCTCAGCACCTTGCGTATGGACAGCCTGTTGAACCTCAGAGACTTGATCGGCCTGCTGCTGCACCTTGGTTCCGAATGTTTGGAACCACCCCTCAAACTTGTCGTTTTGGGCCTTGAGCTCTTGCATGCTGGACTCAAGTTGGGTTAGACGGGCCTCCTGGGCATCAGAAGTGATCGAAGAGCTCCGGGCAGCGACCTGCTCGCGTACAAACTGCTCGAGACTGTCTTTCATGTCTGTCTCCAGCTTGGCCAACTTGGTGGGCGCGGGTGCTACAGGTGGTATCGACGGCGGTGGGAGACCAGGGGGAGCCTTGAGCTTGGCACGTGACCAAGGGTCACTGCCATCTGACCAAGGATCTCGAGAACCTTCAGGGCTAGAACCGTCGTCATAAAGGATGTGCTGCTTGGTCCTCCTCGTGGCGTAGACAGACGGGGTTGCGGCGTCAGAAGTGGCTGGACCACGCAATTTGGTGATGAGTACATGTTGGTCTCCTAAGGGCATTGCCAAGGCCGGAGGGTCGCTGCTGGAGCCAACCTCCCAAGCACCGCCTGCTGCATCTCCCTTACAAGGCTGTAAGGGTTTGGCAATCCACCCCCATTTGCGCAACAGCTGAACCACACTTTGACGCTGCATCCCATGCGGCAACGGGTGAACGCGGAACTTGCTAGTCACTCTCACTTTAATGTACTCCTGGTTTGGACGTAGAGCCCTGAAAACTCCCTCTTCATCGCACTCACGAACACGCGCTCCGTACCTGGATCCCAATCGACAGAGGGCAACAACCTTGGGACATGTCCGCATGAAATGGCGAGCTGCCTCAGAGTCTGAACCTGGCAGCCAGATGACTGAGAAAGAAGGGTCCGGCCCTGAACCGTTTGGGGCCCGAGGTTCGACGTACAATCCTGCACAACTTATCTTATGCAAGTGCGACACAGCAGAGGCAGGCACACGGAGGAATGCAACAAATGCGGATGCTTGATCTGGCTTTTCCCTTCCACCCTCAACCTTGATGAATTGGCGAGCCCACACGTCAAGGATCAACTGCTCGACCGGCTCATCCACAGCAGCGTGGAAACGTCCGCAGTCCCCAAGGCATTTGGGCTCACGACACATGGTCAGCGCTGGAACAAGCTGCAACAACTGGCGCAAAGGTGCCTCGGTAAAACTGGCCCAAGGGATTGCGAGCTCATCCCGGAAGACCTGGATTTTGCAGACTGCAGTATCGACTTGCTCGACATCATCCATGCTTTCTTGTGCAAGTTGCCCAACTTCATCACCAAGCTGGATCATGGATCCCCGAACAAGGACGGCTTCCTGCGTAGGCAAATACAAGGCCGGAAAACGCAGATTTGACACGGGCGCTGTCCCACACATCTCGGCAGGAAGCTCAGCTGTTGTGATTAAGCAGAGAGCCTCAGTACTTATTGTCTCGTAGTGTGTCAAGAAATGCGACGCCTGTTGAACCGAACAAAAACAAACGCCACTCGCCTGGCTGACCACATCCGACAATGCAAGCTGGCACAAGGGATCACCACTGGAAGTAGTGAAACTGCCCTGAGTCACCTGAAGTTGCAACGGGTCAATATTCATTGGAGCTAAGGTCGGCTGACCTGCGCGTTTAGCTTGCTTCTTGCCTTTGGCTCTCGGGATGCTAACTCCAAATCGCTGTGCAGCCTTGTGCTCAATGTGTTGACCTAGTTCGTCCGATTTGACCCAACGAAACATGCTCGAAGGCTTGGAAGCGATTGCCTTAAGCGCTTGCCAGCTGTTCTTCGTCACCAGTGCCGTCGAGATGGGGCCTGGTCCAAGCACTTTTATGGCATCTTGAATCCGCTGCGCGACAGCAGCCTCAGGAACCCCATGTTCAACAAGAAGGCCTTTCAACTCGGAATCTTGTGCCTCGTTGAGACCGCCATTCCCGAAAATCTTGCCCTGGTGCGCTGGGAAACCTTTCACAAACCTGAAGGCATCCTCCAGGAAAACAGGGTGAGCGGTGAGGTCTCCCGAGAGAATGGCGACAGCATGGGCAAGAAGAAGCGTGCCGCAACTCAAGCAATCAATCTGGCTCCAAAGCTGGGTCTCACTCAGATCTTGCATCACCAGACCATGCAGGCCTGCGATAAAAGTGGCGAGCTCCTGGGCCTGAATGGTGTTTCTTCCATGCACTCCATCCAACAGCACTGCACGGCAATACCCGACCTCGGTGCGAACAAGCACAAGCAGTGACCAATGCGAGTCAACGCAAAGCGGAAGCAAAGCGCCGGCAGCCACTTCCGGCCACAACATGGTTGTAGAGAGCCCTGTTCGCTTGGCACCAACCGGCAGGCAAGCTATGACATCAGCAGGAGAAACAACCATTACATCGGTTCGCCTGAACAGGGCCTGCAGTCGCAGGAGGCCCGCCCAGACCAGGACATCAGACACCCCCGACCCTGAAGAATCCGCATTGACAGAGTTGAAGGACAAAAGCTGAGAACTACCAAGCCCTGGCGATGCCCGGCCTAACGCTGTATGCGGCGCTGTCTCCAAGGATTCAGTAACCACAACCGACAAGGAATGAACTGCATGTTTGGCTTGATGCTTTGGCTCAGATACGATCTCGTAAGGCCTGTCAACATCTGGATGCAAGTACTCCCACGGACTTAAGCGGCGACCGTGTTGCAAAACCTTCCAGGTACAACCGGGCCCACAGAGACCCCGTTCGGCGGCCAGAAGTTCACGAACCGTAGTAGGTGCCTGAAGCCGAACCGTATCAGCAGAACCGTCCTTGAAGATTTTCAACATCCCAGCAGCAGGAAGCACCTGGGGCCTCTCCTGATTATCCGCCATGGCAATCAAAGATCTCTCGAGGGTTCGTAGTTATCCGCCCTACCCCTGGAAGGTCTCGAGCCCAGGGCTTTTGGGATCCATTATAATTTAAGGTATCTTCCTCAATTAAGGGATTTTGGAAGGTCTGGGTGTTTCGGGCTGGAGGTGGGGGATCAGGGAGTTTGGAGGGCTCTTGCAGTATACCAGTGTAATCTAGGGGCCTTAATAATTTCAATAGGGCTTTGGGGGTTTATTATACCATAATTTTGATAAGGAAGATGCAAAGTGGTACAGGTAATTATCGAGGCCCCTATACTAGAGGGCTAGGGGGCTATGACGGGACATTGTTACGAAGTCGTGTGACGCCCGTATACTATTTCTTCAATCTCTCTGGATTTATTTATTGCTCCTGAGCAGATGCACCTCGCAAGTCGGCTGAGTCGCTCCACGACAATCACCTACAGCGGGGGAAGCTTAGGGCCTAGGCTTCTTCAGACTCGAAAATTCTAAAACCCTCAACCCTCGTTAGAAAAGTCCTAAATGCTAAACCCTATTTAGTCGGACCCCTAAATGGGTGTTTCCGAAAATTAGGGACACCTTGTTTTGGGGTCCTTAAAGCAAGGATCCTACTATGTAAACGTACTACACTAGGGTCCCCTAATGTTCGGAAACTCCCATATAGGATCCTTATAATAGGGATCCTACTATTTAGAGTACTATATTAGGGTCCCTTCTTTGCGTAAACTCCCATATAAGGGTTCCTTCAAGGGGATCTATTAGGGCTTAGGGTTTTAGCGTTTAGGGTGGTTTGGCTTTGGGGGGTCCCTTCTTTGCGTAAACTCCCATATAAGGGTTCCTTCAAGGGGATCTGTTAGGGCTTAGGGTTTCAGGGTTTAGGGTGTAGGCTTTGGGGGTCCCCTTCTTTGCGTAAACTCCCAGATCTGCTCGAAAGCCCTACCAAGATACTATTTAGAGTACTGTGTTAGGGTCCCCTATATTCGTAAACTCCCATATTGGGTTCAAGCCCTCGTAGATCTGAGTGAGTTGGCTTGGGCGTTCAAAGCTCCACGCCGTCCATTTGGGAGCTTCCGAAAATAAGGGGACCCTATGAAGCACCCTGAATAGTAGGATCCTTATTATGAGGACCCCAACATCAGGTACCCCTGATTTTCGGAGACTCCCATTTCGGAACTACCCGGAAATGAGGGGCTGAATACTCAGACTACATACGGTGTGGGCGCTAGAATGCGAGTAGAATGAGGGAACCTTCTAGATACTAGGACTAGTTACCAGGTCTCTGTCTTAAACGCAATGCCATGTTTAGGCTAGGTCAGGGAAAACGAGACGAAAACTAGCCAACAAGGAGGAACAGCATCTAGGTGTGATCTGTTCAAGCCTTCTTGCACCGGTCTGGAAACTCTGGCGGCACCCTTCTGAAACCCGCACAGAACCCGCCGCCAAGCCCTGAACCCTAAACACCCTCTGGCATAAGAGCAATCGAAGTGATCTCGGGCATGGGACTTGGCAAGTGTAGGGTTGTAGGTATATAAATATAAATATAAATAAATAAATATATATATATATATATATGTATATATATATATATGTGTGTGTGTGTGTGTTCATGATGATGATGATGATGGCATATAGTCCTTAGAAGTTAACTCATGTATATCCCTCGCTACCTTAGTCTCATGATCCTTTTCATAAGCGGCAGGGCCTGTGAAGCTGCGTTTGCGGATTGTGCTGATTGCTACGGCTGTCTACGTGCGAGTGGTACTCCAATGCTTGATACCCTGCCCTAAACCCTAAACCCTAAACCCTAAACCCTAAACCCTCCCTGCAAGCCCCGGGTCCCCGACTAGCATGGATGGGAAGATGAAGAGAAGCAGGCTCAAGGCGACGAAGGGAACATCCCCCACACCAGGGGCCTTGAACAGATGAATCGGTGCGGAATTCGGGGGCTTAGGGGCTTTTGAGGAGGTTCCAAAGCGCTTTGTTTCAGGTGGTTGTAAGGCTCTCGCAATTCCCGAAGGGTCCATGTAGCTGTCTAGCGTATAGTATATACCTCGGCCCGGAAGTAAATAGACAGGAACCCTGCGACACCAAAGCATACAACCCTGGGCACCTTGGGGGAAGTTGCTCCAGGGGACGAGGGCTTGGTGTCTGGGGCTTAGGTTCGGATTTTGTGTACAAGGCTTGGGGCCAAGCTGCAAAGGGCATGACACACAGGCAAAAGGGTTTCCAGAACTAGCGGTATATTCTACGTGGACACATGGACCCCTCAGTCTCAAGAGGAATCCGGCTTGGTTGTGTCAGGCTTCGAAGAAAGAGACATGGTTTCTGTAAGGACGTTAAAACATCTGCTTTTGTTGGAGGGCTGTATCTCTGAACTGTCAAGCCGGCGTAAGCTCTAAAGCCTAGACCCTGAAATCTGCATAAAATAGGGGCCTTAATAATAAGAATAGGGTTTGGGGCCCATTATACTATTTTTAAAATACGGAACCCCAAAATACTGTTGATGATATAAATCCTGCATTACCTTAAGGACCCTAAACTACGGCAATTACGGTATATTCCTTATTATGGGTAATGCAGGATTTATATCATCAACCGTAGTATTGGTATATAGTTATTTGGGCCCCTATAGTAGACTACAGTGTGCTTCCTTGTCGATTCGCCTCCTACACTCACCGAGGGATTTGGAAACTGTGAATTCCGGCTTCAAGCCTCCGCAGCCCTGAACCCTGAATCCTCCTAACCCCTAAACCCCAAGGTCTTGGGAAACTTAAACTTTACCCCTAATCATTAATGTAGACGTCTCGTAAGACTCCTAAACCTTCAATCCGAAGATGGTAGGTTCACTGCCCTAAACCCCTAAACCCAGTGGCCTGTGAAGTTGCCAGGATCTGCAGCCTCAGTGGCAGCGAACGCGCAGAGTCCTTGTAATCTGAAAAATTCTACACTTTTTTGTTGAAGGACCTTTCCGTTCTGCACGAACCGAGCAATTTGCAAGGGTTTGGTGTGTAGATGAATTCTTCGGGTGGGTTAGGGGTTTAGTCAGCAGGGCTGTGTGCGGTTCGTATTTTCCTGCCCCGAAACCCAGGAAGAGCCTGAAATCCCTAACTTCAATACCCAAAGGGTCCCAGGTACTGTTATGGGGAATACTTCCCCAAACCATTATAGTAATTCCTATTATAGAAACCCTACTTTCTACTATGAAGGAACTTTGGAGCCTTTGGGATACATAAACCATTGACCTTGGTGCCCTTGAACCCCATGTACCTACACGAAGCTCTAAAATCCAACGTCTGGAGCCTAAACCTTGCAGCCTTGCCTTAAGCTCGACATCTCTATACTGTAGCAACCTTCCTAGTTAGAATGGGGTTTGGGGGCCATTACACTATCAGCATAATAAGGAAGCCCCAAATTAGCATATGTCCTTATTTGGGGCCCCCTATAACACCTCACTCTCAAAGCCTTACAAACCTTCGAACCTCCACCCAAGTCGAGGACCCGCAGTCCTCAAAGCCCAACAGCTCCAACCCCAAGCCGGGGCCCTAAACCCTAATAAAGGGGCCGTGATAATTTGAATCGGGTGTTGGGGTATGTTATACCATGGTTCATAATCAGGAACCATCAAAACAGTATAGGCAATTATTTAGGCCCTTCATAAACCCGAAGTCCTTAACCCGAAAACTCCCGTTGCTCGGCCCCGGACAGCACGAAGACAAGCGGGAGGACGGCGATGAGGCCAACAAACTGAGTCGGGCTTTTGTGTTGTACTTGGAGGTTCATGGGTAGTTATAAGTGGGGTTCTAACTAAGGCCACTCTACGTATAACCCTGGCTAGGGGACTTGTAAGCACGCTTATAACTGCCGATGAACCTCCAAGTAGGGAGGATTCAGAGGCTGGGGGTTTAGGAATTTGGGCTGCAGGTTTAGAGGTTTGAGCTTTAGGTCCATACGACTGCATCAACGTCCAGGATCAACAGAAGCCACAAGCCATCGTACAGCAGGAACCAGCAACTTCATCGTCACCATGATCATCATCAGCATCATCATCAACATCGGTATCATGAGCATGACTGTCATCATCGTTGCTAGTTGCGGCTAGCAGCACCATTTCGTTGCCGGATGCAGGAGTAGAGGGTGTATTGCGAATGCTGTTTTGCGTTGCGCCAAACAGGACCCATGAACAGATCAACGCACTGGTGCAAAGAAGGGTGCAATACAACAAAACACTTCACTCACTGCTGGCAATGCTTTTGGGTCTTGACAGGTCTTCGAGGCTTACAGGCCTCCGGTGCCACGTCCAAATATCATCTCAACACATCGGGAAATCTTCCTAGAGCTACACTCCACCACAGTTGCTAGTGGTTAATGTACCGTGAGGATTGCTGTGGCCTCTGCTATCCATGTTCTGATCAGGTTGCTGATTACTATAACTTTTGTGAATGTCATGGTTTCCTATACGCATTTACTTAATGTCATGTTGGCCACTGCCGCTATTGCTTCGCGAATAGTCATGCAAATAGCACCTGCCATCAGTCCGATCATGCAACTTCAGCAGGAAACTGTCCTGGCATGCGCTGAAATGAAGTAGACCCAGGAAGCGCGCCAAAATGGTCAGAATACTACCGTGTATGTATATATATATATATATATATATATATATCTATCTATCTATCTATATATATATATATCTACACATATATATATATATATATATACATAGAAATATACACACACACACACACACAGAGCCATGGTTTGTTGCTTGCAGCTTTTACCATGGCTTTGGGACCTGGTTCTGGAGTGGACCTAGCCAGTAGCTTACCCGAGTTTCCGCTTCAAGTCTCCTATCCCAAAGGGTCGTAGAATGTAGGGTTTCTATATTAGGAATTACTATTATGATTTGGGGAAGTATTCCCCGTAACAGTACATAGGACCCTTTGGGCATTGCAACCACCTCCGATACGCGGCTTGGGCACCCTACAACACAAACCCTTTTTCGCGACGCCATCTGTGCATCATTAATTCCCTTTCGCAGACGGTTTCGGATGGCGGCTTAGCACTCGACTTCGGTGTGCGCATGTCGGCTTGGTTTCTGAGGGTTTCTGGAATTTAATGTACTGGAGCCCCTCGACATTCCACGCGTCGTGAACATCATGGAGAAACGCTCCACCCAAAAGGCCTCAATCACAAAAGCCACAATCTCTAACCTAAACTCCTAAAGCCTGTACAATCCCGAAAGAAGCTCAAAAAGCCCAAACAAGCGGCTAGGGCCACCACGGCCGAATCACTTCGTATGGACTCCGGAAGCAGAACCAGAGCAATGCCCATCCTGCCATTCAGCGTTAATGCGTTCGTGTGCGGGCCAGCCTTCATTACCACAACCTTTTTGAAGCCCCTGACAGATGTTCGTAAAGACGGTCCTCTTAAGCCCAAGAAAGGAAACATAAAACATTCAAAAAAGGCTACCTATTGAAGAGGTTTTTATACATTGTATACGACCTGGTAAAACACTGGAAAGACCTAGAAACCCAAGCCCAAAGACTGCAAATCGCCAAAAGTAGGCACTATTCATGGACTTTAGACCCCAAGGCATGCATTCTTTGAGTACTTGGAATCTTAGAAGCCCCCGAAACCCCAAACCCCTAAACCCTTACATGCCCTTAAACCCTAAACGCCTAAAACCTAAAACCCTAAACCCTAAACCCTAACCCCAAAAGCCCTCCCGCCGGACCAGAGCGCAGCCCAAGTTGACCGACTCCGCCAAGGTGTCGGATCAGCGTAGCAGGCTCGGGCTGGCGCCTGCGGTGATCTGGAGGTTTCCCAAAACAGGGAACCCTATTATAGTATCCTAAATTATAGGATCCTTATAATAAGGACCCCAAAATAGGGTACCCCCTTTTTCGGAAACTCTCAATCTCAACTTATCTTGGGGGGGTTTAGGGTTCGGGGTTTAGGGCTTAGGGGCTTTAGGGGCTTTAGGGTTTTAGGGTTTAGGGCTTAGGGGTTTAGGGCTGAGGGCTTTAGGATTTGGGGTTCAGGGTTTTAGGGTTTATAGGGCTTTGGGTTTAGGGCCTGGGGTTTCAGGGTTTAGGGCATATAGGGTTTGGATTTTGGGGCTTAGGGTTCAGGGGTTGGGGGTGCAGGGTGAAGCGAGGGTGAAATAACCACTCCGTGTCAGCTTTGCTTTTCTGTATTCCCAAATTGGTGCCCATGTGCGTGGGCTGACTCCCTGTATTTCTCACGTACCTTGCTCAAAAAACCCGAATCCGCAAACCGCTGCAACCTGAAATAATGACTCTGAACCTAATCCTAAAATCATCAAGCACTGCGTACGGAAGAAGGTTTAGAGTTTAGGGTGTTAGGGTTTTCCCGAATGCTCTGCAGAAGGCTTCCCGTTTAGAAGGTTGGGGTCCAGGGGTCCAGCCGTTGACCCGCCATCGTGATTAAAGCGTTCGCGAAGCGTTCGCAAGCGTTCGCGTGTGACGCGAGGTGTGTCGCGCGGCGCTGTTAAGGGGAAACCCACAGAAGGCGCGTCCGGACTGCGTTCTGAATGCGCCAAGCTAAGGGTAAACTCCACAGGAGGCGCGTCCCGCCTGCGTTCTGAATCCGTCAAGCTATAAGGGGGAACTCCACAGGAGGCGCGTGTTCCGTGCGTTCTGAATCCGTCAAGCTAAGGGGGAACTCCGTCCCGCCTGCGTTCTGAATCCGTCAAGCTAAGGGGGAACTCCACAGGAGGCGTGTCGCTGTTATTGGGGAACTCTACAGAACGCGCGTCCCGACGGCGTTCTGAATCCGTCAAGCTAAGGGCGAACTCCACAGGAGGCGTGTTCCGGCAGCGTCCCGTCCCGACGGCGTTCTGAATCCGTCAAGCTAAGAGGTACCCCCAGAGGACGCGAGGCGTGTCGCACAGTCAAGCTAAGGGGGAACTCCACAGGAGGCGTGGTGTGGCAGCAAAGCGTCCGCGTGTGACGCGAGGCGTGTCGCACAGTCTTAAGCTGAGGGGGAACTCCACAGGAGGCGTGGTGTGGCAGTGTGTCGCGGGTCCCGACGGCGTTCTGCATCCGTCAAGCGAAGGGGGAACTCGACAGGACGCTGGCGCTGTTAATGGGGAACTCCACAGAACGCGCGTCCACGGCAAGCTAAGGGGGAACTCCACAGGAGGCGCTCGTCCGCGTGTGACGCGAGGCGTCTCGCACAGTCAAGCTAAGGGGGACCTCCACAGGAGGCGTGGTATGGCAGCGTGTCGCGCGTCCCGACGGAGTTCTGCATCCGTCAAACTATAAGGAGGAACTCCACAGGACGATCGCGCTGTGAATGGGGAACTCCACAGAACGCGCGTCCCGAATCCGTCAAGCTAAGGGGGAATTCCACAGGCTGTTAATGGGTAACTCCACAGAAGGCGCGTGTCGCGCGAGTTCTGAATCCGTCAAGCTAAGGGGGAACTCCACGGGAGGCGTGTTCCGGCAGCGTCTCGAGGGCGTTCTGAATGGGGAACTCCACCGAACGCGCGTCCCGACGGCAGATATCGCATCCCTAAAGAAAATACCCGGAGAAGGAATCAGGGCAGCACGAGAATCGTATCACAACGATTGCACGAGATGCATGAAGAATTAAACATTACATGGATCCCGTGAGCGACTGCATCGCCGGCATGGCTGATGATACAAGGTCATGTTTGTCATGATGTTTTGTCATGATGTTCGTTTTTCTCAGGATGCGATATCTGCGTTACGCGTGTCTGCATTCGGGTTCGTGGCCCCTGTCTGGTTTGATGCGATGCCTGGCTGCTTTGGTACAAATTCGGGCTTCCGGCTCCGATTTCATTACCTGGAGGCTTTTCAAACTGCGGGGGGAGGGGGTTCTTCGGCGGTTTAGCGTTTAGGGGTTCCGGTGTAGGGGCCTCCTGTACCCTTCAGACTAGTTGCTAATGGTGTGTATTGTGCGTCGGCTTTGGGTTCTAAGCTTGTTCTGAAAGTGCCGTGTGCTCCCACGAATCTGGAACCTCTGTGCTGAGCTTGCAATGCATCTCCCAGCTGTTCGCCAAGCCTGCCACCCCCCGGCGGCAGAAAAGAAGGAACTGCGGCATTGAACAAGGATGCCAAGTCTTCGAAGAGCTGCAACAGCATCCTTGTCGTAGCTCAAGCACATGAATGTTAGGTCGAGCTTGCATCTGAATACCTCAAAGCTCGAAAATGCCTAATTAAGCCCAAAACCTAAACCCGTAACCTCTCAAACCCAACGCTAAACCGTAGGCCAAACAAATCCAAAAGCGCCGTCACTAAACCTAAAGCCCGAAGCCAAACCCGAACCCCAACTGACCGCAATGGAGTTCCAATATACGGAACCTAACCCATAATCATTGGAATAAGGTTGAGGGAGGAAGGGTCATATTTGACAAGGAACCCCGAGGAATAGTATTGGTAAGCATTCCGCCTACTGCACGACTTTACACCCTAAACTCTGAGACCCTGAAGAGCTAAACATTGAACCCTGAACCGGCTCGAACCCAAACCCCTGAACCTTTAAACCTAAACCCTGTGACCCTAAACCCCAAACTCGAAGACCCTAAAGATCTAACACTAACCTTAACCCTGAAGAACCTACCAATTTTAAGAACTTATATAAGGAAATCATACCAGGGAACCCTAAAAAGGTAGGTTCTTCAGGGCTAAGGAGTGCCATACGCAGACCCAAAAGCGCCTCAAGTGTGGCCACGTAGAGCCTCAGGCGATGCCGTGGCGGGGGTTTAGGGCTTCGAGATTAGGGTTTAGGGTTTAGGTGTTAGGGGTTTAGGGGTTTCAGGGTTTTGGGGTTTAGGCGGGTTTCAGGGTTTCGGGGGTTTTGGGTTTAGGGGTTGGGTTTAGGGTTTAGGGTTTAGGGTTTCGTGATTGCCAGGACTCCCCAAGAGCCCTTAAAGAGAGCCCTTATGGTCCTTAACAGTGGGTATTTGGGATCTATTGGGGGTCTCGGCAGGGTTTCGGGTGTTAAGGTTTAGGGTTAAAGGTTTAGGGTTTAGGCTTATGGTTTAAGGGTTCGAAATCAGAGCTTAGGGATTTCAGGGTTTCGGGGTTTAGGGCTCAATGGGCTCAGAACTTAAGGCTTAGGAGCTTGGGTGGTTCCCCACAACATTACCTGAATGATAACGCGGCCAGGGTTTCAAACCCTGTCTCCCTGAAATTAGGAGATCCCCTACAGACAGAAGGTCGACTATAGCGACGTACCTAGTTGTAAAGGAACTGCAGGATAAGTTATCGTCGTTATCGTGGTTTCCGTTCTTGCTGCTAGCTCTCTAGCCCGACAGCAAAAACCGACAATATCCCAAGCATCCCAAGCAATAAGCGGGCTCTCCTTCCGTAATCTTGGGATTCAATTCGAACCTAAGGCCACAAAAATGGAAAAAGGGCGCACGGGGAGACTTTGCCGAGCACACTTCGAGGAGGACTTGGAGTCTAGAATGAAGCAAGACATCCATCTTCGAGTTTAGGATCTAGGGTGTTGGGGCTTGGTTTAGGCAGCTTAGGCTTCAGGGTTTGGGTTTAGGGTTCTGCGACCAAAATCGAAGACCTGACTTCGTTCCCTCAACGTTCTCATGTTGTGTTTAGATGTAATTCGGCGAGGAGGTACGACTACGGGTTTAGGTTTTGGCCTTCATAGGGTTTCATGGGTTCGAGCTGGGGCTGTACAGGATTTTAGGGTTTCGGGTGTAGGGTGTCTATCAGAGCTTACGGCAAATGTGTTGGTATTAATGTTGGGGGTGTTCTCTACCATCATTTACTATGGGATTTGCGCTACCCACCCTGGGCCCTCAGTTACCGCTCCGTTACAGCTTCCGTTACAGCTCTGTTGCAGGTCCGTTACAGCTCCGTTGCAGGTCCGTTACAGCTCCGCTACAGCTTCTGCTACAGCTCCGCTGCAGCTCCGTTACAGCTTCCGTTACAGCTCCGTTGCAGGTCCGTTACAGCCCCGCTGCAGCTTCTGCTACAGCTCCGTCATAGCTTCCGTTGCAGCTCCGCTGCAGCTCCGCTGCAGGTCCGTTACAGCTCCGTTGCAGGTCCGTTACAGCTCCGTACAGCATTCTGCTACAGCTCCGTTACAGCTCCGTTACAGCTTCCGTTACAGCTCCGTTGCAGGTCCGTTACAGCTCCGTTACAGCTTCTGCTACAGCTCCGTTACAGCTCCGTTACAGCTTCCGTTACAGCTCCGTTGCAGGTCCGTTACAGCTTCGTAGCAGGTCCGCTACAGCCCCGCTACAGCTTCTGCTACAGCTCCGTTACAGCTCCGTTACAGCTTCTGCTACAGCTTCGTTACAGCTCCGTTACAGCTTCCATTACAGCTCCGTTGCAGGTCCGTTACAGCTCCGTTACAGCTCCTGC